TGTGTTTGGAAAATAGAAGTATCATCGCAAACCTAGTGGTCTTCTGATTTCCGCTTTCTTGCGTCAGGACTATTAAATTCTCTACCAGTACATAATAATAATTTAGCGACGAGTACATAACAATTTGGCGACGGGGAAAACTACTATTAACCACTCAGCAGCAGCAGCATAACACAACTACAGCGCCTACTTCACTAAGAAAATCTGCCCCCGAAATTGCTTGCCATATATCTGACGTTACAATGAATGGATATGGTATTTTTCTGGCACCGATATCCACAACTCAGTCTGAAACACCAAGAATCTGTAAAGAATGTCCCTCTACCGTATGTACTGCTAATGTCAACGTCTTTATTTACTCACACTGTTCTCTACCTATCAAAGAAACTGCCACCCGTGTGTCCAACAACAACCTGGTTCTCTCTCATTAACGCGTAATCGTCCGTACACGGCACCTCTTTCAACTAATCCCACAACCTCCAGACGCAAGCGAGGAAAAGAAGGAAGACTGTATCGTTTAATGTTGTTTTGCCATCGTTTCGGGCGATTTCTCTTCCAGTGTAACCGGTTCTTCCACAAGCAAAACATCTGTTGTTGTGTCTTTCTAGTATCTGCATAGCAGCCACTTGCTGTTTCAACTCTTCAATCGTCTTTGATTCTTTGCACTCCGTCATCACTGGAGCAATAAGCAACAAGTCATCAGTTGCCTTGTGAATTTTGCCATTTCGTGAACATCCTTCGGCTGAGCTGCGTTAACTAGCTGCAACTGATGAGCGCATTAGACGAACTGTGAAGCTAGCAACTGTTCCCACGTACCTCCATCCAAGGCGGGTAATGCTTGTCACAGAAGACTTGTCAGCGTTACTGAGAGAAACACTCGATCCTCGTCACGACCAAGAGTCCGGAACTTCTGCAGCTTGAAGGTTATATTTTTATGATATAGGCATCGTAGGTAAATAAATCTGGTACATCGTATCTCCAATACTTTATTTGGACATCATTTGCAAATTGGTCGAAAATCATCCCATTCTATACCTTGTTGAATTCTGAACAGTGTTTCTAACGTGTTTTTCTCACAGCTCCCTTCTTCGATCGCTTTTTCCAGTGTCCAAAACATATTGTTACTTTTCTGAATTTGTTCGCAGATATACTACTTATATCTGGTTATATGCAGCAGTTACTACAGAGTTACCGGCCTTCAATTTAACTAATAACACGACCAGTAACTTTCAGAGTTTCAATACTTCTGATGTTATTAAATGTTTAAAATCTCTTAAACCTTCCCAGAGTCTAGGCCCCGATGGTATACCTGCCATTGTTCTAAGGAAATGTGCTGATGTTTTGAAGTAACCCACTTACAAACATTTTCAATACTTCTTTTTCTAATAAAGTTGTAACTTCTCTGTGGAAAGATATTAAAATCATCCCTGTACCCAAGTCTGGTTCTGGAAATAGTGTTAAGTTTAGACCAATTGCTAATACCTCTCCTTTTTCGAAAATAATGGAGAAATTATTGTTACTAAAACTTGTTCCCTCCCTAAGCTTCTCAAATGATCCAAAGCAGTTTGCTTACAAACAGGGTAGAAGTACTTTAGACACTGTTTCTGTGTTTCATCACAACATTGTATCCCCCTTAGACAAAGGGGCCAAGTATGTCCCTTGATTACGCATCTGCTTTCGACTCTGTACCTAGAGGCCTTTTGTTAAACAAGCTTAGCCTTACACAAACTGAGTCTTGGGCTATCAACTGTCTGCACTCTTAATTCTCTAATAGGGTGCAGTTCACGGTATATAATGGCGTAATTTCCTCTCATTTGCTTATTGAAGCTGGTGTTCCTTAGGGTGCTGTTCTCTCTCTGTTTCTCTTTTCCTTCTTCTTACATGAGTTACCTCTTTCAGATGAAGTCGACTTCGTCAAATATGCAGCTAACCTGACTGTTTCGCTTCCTGTTAAGTCTCAGTCAGACTGCTTCAAATTAAACAGGTTCCTGTCGGACATCAGTCGGTGGTCTAAACTAAATGGCCTCGTGCTGAATCCCTCAAAATGCCAGACTATTGACTTCTCCTTTAGACATAAAGGAGATCTTCAAACACTAGTAAGTACTTATGAAGCCTGCAGCATTGAGGGGACTAAAATTGAAACTAAGTCTAATGCAGAATATCTCGGATTAGTTCTATCTTCCGACCTTACATGGTCATCTCATATCCAAACGATTTCTAAGAAAGTGTTTCGTCTAACCTACTGCATTAAGAAACTCAGACTATCTGGAATCACCCAACCTCTACTTTCACAATTTGTCAACTCTCGTATCTTACCTATTCTACTTTACTGCTCTCCATTAGTCTTTCCTGGGTTACTGAAAAAGGGCTATACCATCCTGTGAAGGATGTTGAAGGTAGTTAGTGGGACTAGTGGTGTAAAACTCAGTCAGCTCGTCACTACATTCGGAGAAAGGCATTTGAATACATGAGAAAAATGGTGTAAAACCATACTCTCCGACCCCCAACACCTCCTCTATTCCCAACTCTCTCCTTGCATCTCATCAGGTAGAACCAGAAATCAGTACAAAATAATATATGCTCGTACAACCAAGTACAGGAACTCAACGATACCATATTTGGCCAGCCCGTGTTCTAAGTGGCAGAGAGAATGTTAAGCGTGAAACCTATGACTTGCTTTGTTGTTAATAACATAATTTTGGCCCTTGTTATTTCCCCCTTATACTCTCTATAGTGAACACCTTCTTAAACATACTTAGCTACCTAAAATTATTATCATTGGCTTACTTTTTTGTACTTTATACTATTTCTTCTTTTGTGTATCCACTAGTCCCGACTATATTATCACTATAATTATTACAAAATTGTCCTGTCATTAACCATCATTTAATATTAGTTTTGTGATTTTTTTTGTTCAGCAATATTAAACTGACAATCTTGATTGTGAACGCCGTTATCACCATCCTAAAATTTTTTGTATTATGCATGATTATTCACACTACCACAACAAACACCGCATTAGTGCTGACAATAAAAAGGCCTAAAATGTTTATTTTATGATTGTTTAGTGTAGTTCAATCAAACTAACTGATCATCTTGGCTATAAACATTCTTAAATATCATTTCATAACTTCTTGTATGACTATAGCTTTACCGTCACCACGCATAAACACATCATAGCTTCCACTACCCAATACTAAGATCCGGATTTTCAACTCCAATGTAAAGTTAGTGCTACTATACGGATCAGAGACTTGGCCAGCGAGTCATAAAGAGCATCTCAAACAAACTTCAGACCTTCATTAACAACTGTCTTCGCTCAATACTCAAGATCAGATGGCCGGTCAGAAAAGATCAGCAACACGGATCTCTAGGAGCGAACCAACACAGCAGGAACCGATTGTGAAACAAATAGGCAGGAAGAAATGGAGATGGGTTGGCCATACGCTGAGGAAACCATCAAGTGACATCACTAGACAAGCCATGGCTCGAGTGGAACCCGAAAGGGAGGCGGCGAGTTGGTCGTCAGTGGAAGGGTGACTTGGAGGAGGTCATGCGAGGAGGAGATGAAAGCATGTGGACAGACCTGGAGCGGGGTGAAAAAGTTGTCAGAAAACCGAAGGCAATGGAGGTGCGCAGCTGAAGCCCTATGTTCCTCTAGGAACTAAAGGATACAATAATAATATAATAATAATTTATTATGTTGTGTATTTTCCTCTCTACTTCTTGGTATTTTTTAGCATCTTTTATAATTTTTGTGTTTATTTTCTTTTTTTTTGTCGTTGTTGTCTTTATAGTTATTTTTTGAAATACTCCTTTTAAATATTTGATAAAATTAAGTGCAATATTGTAGATGTGCTGAAAATTCCACACTCTACCACTAGTACTGTTTCTGGAATAATAAAAGCAAAATTATTATTATTACTTGTTATCTGTATGTACCAGCATTCCCTAGTTGGTGGAGATTGTGTTCCTACCGAGTCTCGAACTCAGTGCCCATAGTTTCAAACGCCCAAGCGTTATCCACTAGGCCACCATTGGGGAATGCATGTACACCCAGATAATGAATCCCAAATAGAACGAAATGCGTATCCTGGATTCCATTCCTAGTCACCATCCGCCAGTTGACTTCATCCAAGCATGTTTCAACTCGAACCGAAATACAAAGAAGCAACCAACCTCTAAAACCACAAGAAAACCCATTCTACCATATATATGTATATATGAAGAATATCTGTGAAATAGCTAACGGCTAGAATTCTAAAACTATTTGAAATAGACATAGCACACATGCCAACAAAATAACCACATTCAATATTGTGCAGACCAAAATATTCAGCAAGTAAAAGAAGACAAATCAATACCACCTAGAGAAATTGCGAAAAACTTGACATCAATCAAAGTGGGTATCCCCTTCAAATCCGAATCCAAAGAACATAAATTAGTTGTGAAATAACACGATATGTATTCTTTCATATCGGTGAACGTAGATATAAACAGTGGAAACACTAAACATTCCATAGGAATTCCTAGCAGCCTGATTGATACTCAGATGAATTGGCGACCGACTAACAAACGTAGTGCCATGGAAAAAAAACATCAACCAACTAATATAAAGTAAATCATATGAGAAAAACAAATTAGTTCAAATTCCAGGTCATATCATCAATAAAAATGATCAACAGAGACGTAAATTAATAACTAATCACAGCTATGGTTGTCGCTTGCGATTTTGTAGCAATGTTGTCCAGGTGGACAATGGAACACAAACAAATCAAAAGACTTACATATAAACTAAACCCTGCAGTAAAATGACAAAAACATGTTGGCCGATGCAAAAGCATCACATAAATTTTCATAAGGTCACATATATATATATGCGACTGGCTGATGAGTTCCTAAAAAGTGAGAAATCAAACTGCCATGTAGGCTAACAGTTGAACTCCTAACCTTCTCTAATTTCAAATATCCCTTTTTCTTCATCATATATTCGAGTATTTATTTATTTAAAATATTAGTAATAATTGTAAACTAACAATAAAGTATACAATACAGATTGTGGGTGTTGTGAATAGATTGCAAAATTAAAAAAAACAGAGAAATTATATAAATTAGAATAAAAAAATTTACAAATCTAATGTTTGAAAAGCCAATACATGACATGATTCACATTGGGCAGTAGCAAATCGTCCAAGCAGATGGGCTACAGCACAACCAACTTTACACGGACCAACAATCACTTGCCAATTTCGACCGTATTCTTTTTCCAAAGCTAATGCTATAAACTGTGGTATTGTCTGAAAGTCAATTTGTCGTTTCACTGCTGTTCTAACCAGTTGATTTAATTTTTCTTCTAATTTATCATATGAATGTTGAATATACATCGGTTCATCGTCTGGATCCCAATAATCTCGAGATAGTACACTATTGTAATTTGAGATAACATTTTCTGATGAATAACTACGTTGTTGCAGTGACAGTCTACCGGGTGATCCTGATCTTGAAGACGACTGGTGATGACGACTGGTCATATCTTCTGTTGACCGGAATTGAGCTGCTGCTTGTTGAAAGAAATCATTGCCTGAATCATATTTTCCACTAAGTCTTCGATTGTGTCGTTCACTGAAAATGATAAGAATGAATAGTTATCTACATACAAGTATTTCGCGCGTGCTTAGAAAATAATTATAGCAAAGTACAAGTCTCTCAGTTAACCAAAAAAAGACAGGCTAACTTCAATCACATGCATATATATTCCAACCAAGTAACACTTTATAGTCCCTGAATTAGTTAGTGTTTTAAAGAAATGTTTGATTTAGATATGATAGAGAAGATTTGTAGCTCAGGTGGATGATTTTGATGCGGTTGTGTTCTCTGAGCTAGATGGTTAATTTACGAAGCTTTGATCACCCTACTAGGCGACATCTTAAGCGCATACTTCAATTCAAATTGAAGTGAGCTTCTGGATTTCTGCACGAGTTTATTAATCATCTCTCCTGGTGGGTGACTTTGAACCGGATTGGTTGTTTTCGTGTGTTTTCACAACTTCCAGGCTACTTGTGATATTGTAACTGATTATTTCTTTGACTTGAACTTTGACCCTTTGTGTGTGAAGTTTATTTCTTATCGGTTGATAAATTTTGTCTATCTCGATGTGTCTATTGATTGATGATTCACTGGAATGCCGGGCAGGCTTCTAAAGATTCTCTAGCAATGCACTACCTTTTTCATACAAACACTATTCAAGAGGGCCAGCCAGGACTCATTGCAGCACTCCCACCTTAAGGAAAATTGAAGAAAAGTATCTCATGGACGTCTTCCGAAAGAATGGATATCCATGGAATTTCATCAAAAGACATATACCCCAAAGCCAACCTACCAAAGCAAAAGCCACCAAGGAAAGCACAAAGAAAATCACCTTACCATATATAAAGGATATCTCAGAAATCACTACAAGACGCTTCAAACCTTTAGAAATTGATGTCGTACACAAATCAACAAAGTCACTTCACTCAATTCTATGTCAACCAAAAGATTCAACAGCGAAAGAAGATAAAACCAACATCATCTATAAAATAAATTGTAACAACTGGGAAAAACACTACTTTGGCCAAAGTGGACTACCCTCGTCTTCATCTTCATATCCACGAACATAAACTAGCCGTCAAAAGACATGACATCCACTCCATCACTCATATCACTACATACAGTCAACCACGGACATCAATTAGACTAGGACAACAAAACCAACGTTCATATATTAGACAAAGGAAACACCAAGAATGCTAGAGAATTTGTAGAAGGCTGCCTGGTATTCCAGTGAATCATCAATCAATAGACACATCGAGATAGACAAAATTTATCAACCGATAAGAAGAAAACCTCATACACAAAGGGTCAAAGTTCAAGTCAAAGAAACAATCAGTTCCAATACCACAAGTAGCCTAGAAGGTGTGAAAACACACAAAACAACCAATTTGGTTCAAAGTCACCCACCAGGTGAGATGATTAATAAACTCGTGCAGAAATCTAAAAGCTCACTTCAATTTGAATTGAAGTATGCGCTTAAGATGTCGCCTAGTAGGGTGATGAAAGCTTCGTAAATTAACCATCTAGCTCAGAGAACACAACCACATCAAAATACTTTCTAGTCCCTGAATTAGTGTTTTAAATAAATGTTTGAAAAAAGTACTTCTGTTGTGGTTAGGGCTGGCTGGCTGCCAGCCAAAATTAGTAGACAGTAATTTACGTCAATGTTTACGTCCTCAATATTAGGTCATGAGAAAAATAGGAACAATGACAGACTAAACAACCAATCACAACAGACTTTGCGTAGGCGGATACAATTTGCAGATAGATAATCTGAACTTCATGAAACAGCCACAAAGAGATGAAGGATTAACTTTCAGAAGACTGTGTTTGTTTGCTTACAATAATTTATAAAAATGTACATGAAAATATATAAATATGTGTGATTTCCTTAATTAAGGATCTGTTTGGCTGGCCTTTGTCTTCTGTTGTTACAAACTAACATACAAAAACTCTAACATTTGTATAGTTTTCATATATCAGGAATCAAACTAGATAGCCGAATAATTCTCACATGGATTAAGCCTACAAAAAATGGTGTTGTCTACCTTTGTAAGCCTCTTGATATCAAGTCAACTGAATTCATATCACAGATGTAAATGTAAAAATAACCAATTACCGCTGGGGCCAGTTTAATTCAGTCTCATGAAGGGATGTTCGTTGTTGTTGTTTTTGTGTGTTTTCACACCTTCTAGGCTACTTGTGGTATTGGAACTGATTGTTTCTTTGACTTGAACTTTGACCCTTTGTGTATGAGGTTTTCTTCTTATCGGTTGATAAATTTTGTCTATCTCGATGTGTCTATTGATTGATGATTCACTGGAATACCAGGCAGCCTTCTACAAATTCTCTAGCATTCTTGGTGTTTCCTTTGTCTAATATATGAACGTTGGTTTTGTTGTCCTAGTCTAATTGATGTCCGTGGTTGACTGTATGTAGTGATATGATATCTGCAACTCTATGTGTTCAGTAGTGTTTATGTACAGCGATCTCTGTCATCAAAATAAATGTCTTAACTATACGATATCGATCACCGGTCAATCTATTCATGTATTAAATAAGAAATAAATACCATAATGACATTACCGGTTTGTTCATTTCAAAAGTAGCTAGACTAAAAGTTTAAGGGAAAAGCTGTCAGAAAACCATCGGTTGTCGGACAGACACGTTTCATGGGTTTGAGATCACGAGTTGACATCTCAGTTAGATAACTACTGGAAAACCAGGTAGGATTGGACAGCTGTTTCATAGTAGCAGTGTGAGCCTCTTTTGTAATTTACACCAACTGGGCGTTGAACTCAGGACCTTCCTTCCACTTTCAAGGTGAGCTCGTAGATCATTCAACCGCTCCACCATGTAACCAACCAAATCCCTGCAAGCCAACAACTGAAAATTAATCTGATGCTCACCAGAGACTGGCTCTATACAAGAAATTACCTAGAGTTCTGTTAAGAAATTGTGACCAGCGGAGGAGTCAGGACAGTTACCCTGCGTTGACAACAGATGACGGCTGCGTCATATATTACTAATTGGCATAAGTTGAAAGGAATAGGCAATTAGATTAGGTTCCATTCGTTACATAAGCTCACATTATAGCCCAAGAGTCCTGGGTTCGAATCCCGGTTAGTGTGTGTAGTGCTTGAAGAGTCCTTAACTAAAAACGAAACAAATATCCGATTTTCCTATGCTTCTGTAACTGACAACATCGTGTGATGAAACATGTAAGCAATCAAGTCCCTGTAAACCAATAATTGAAGATTTATCTTTTATTTTAATTCCTCACAAAACTTAGCCATCAAAGTAACGGTGGTTAAGAGCATTCTGCTCCGCATAAAGAATGTAAAAATAAAATCTATCACAACAAATCAATATGTTAAGACGTATATGAAAGGTCATTTAAGCAATTCATTTGAGAGCCAGCTACTTGGCGTTAGGTTAATACCGTAAATTCTCTCCTGGACGATCTATTTATAATATTTATACTTATTTCGATGTTTCAACTAACTTTTTAATCAATTATACGAATTTCCGCTACCTCCCCCTACCAGACGGTATATCATCAATTTGACATTTGCATATCTATCACATGTTGCATTTTGACCTTTATTATTTGCCTTTGTACTTGCTTAATCTTTAATTGTAATTACTTCTCTTTGTGGTTGTCTGTATAATGTCTTGTGTAACGATAGGAGTTAGTTTGAGTGAATCAAGGTCATTCCTACCATTGGAGTGTCTGTGCGAAGCCTTGGTGTGGGATTCTTGTGGACAGAGCCTATGATCCCACCTGGTTGGGAGTATTCTTTTCGATTTACAGTTGAAAGTCGGTTAACTAATTTTATCTCACAGTACTTGTTTTGTATTTGGAAGTATACATTGCCCGTATTGATGCCTCTCGGTACTGTTGAGGTAAATTTGAGTTTTGATGTCATTATTATTGTTGTTGTTTAGTAGATCCGCTAAAAATACTGGAGGATAATCATCTTTTCCCTGTCTTTGGGACTTCATTTCATGATAATGCGTGTCACAAGGAAGTTTTGTCGGCTGTACAGTATAGAATGTAGAGATTGATTTTCTTTGTATTCAAACCATAACCGAATAAATTTGGTCGTTAAACTATATACTACTGACTGATTGATATGAGTAGTAGGCTAAAATTTCCATCAACTAAGTAGCGCTTGCTAGCCAGTCAGATTTAAGCGATCCATGTACGAGACGACCATTTATAGCTCGTTTGCAGGCGAGCATATCACCGGTGTATCTGGTCTCATTCAACTGTGTGGGCTGAATCAGTTCAAATCACCACCACGCGATGTATATATATATATATATATCGCAGATGATTTACGTTTAATGTCACACAAACTCGAAGACTTACAGGCGAAAACCAACAAACTGGGTGCTGATAAAGCAGCTAGAGAAGACAGGACTTAAGGTGAACATAGAGAGGACGGAGGTGATGAAGGTGATGACGGCGGTACGTTCGAAATTGGTGACATTTTTGCACGTGTCTGCTCTGAAATTTATTTACTGCTTATTGTCTCATAATTCTTGAAATTATGGTCCAAATCTCTAAAAAACGTGTTCGTAGAAACACAGTTGTTTTAGATAATGGCTCAAATTCGGTTATAACTGCATTACCGCCTGGTAATACAGTATCAACTACTAGCCCTCAAAATGGTTTGAGTGCAGATCTCACTCCTGTGATACAGGTGAAAGATGTTCTGTTAGAGAACTCTGAGTTCTGTAAACTAAACCTCCTTTAGAAAGATGATATGTATCCACATATATATATTTATGTGTGTGTGCATGTTGGTCTCTCTTTCTGTTTGCTCGGTTAGTCTGTGACCACTTCACTTGTATGAACTTGTCTCCTTTAATAATGTATATTCCATTTATATTATATATAATATGAGTGTTGTTGACAGTCCGTTGCTTGGTGACATATATCCATATATGTTTGTTGGCATGTCTGCTATATTCGCTATGTATAATTGGATCGACACTCCATTATAATTAGCCATTCATGTTAAGAC